CACCGGGAGGGCTGGGAGTTAATATTTTTTCCTGCCCTTATTCCACTTCCTCGCAGCTCGGCCGAACTAATCCCGAGCCATCGGGAGCGTTTGGCCACAGTTATTTCCGGTTTTATTTTGTTGCCTTTTTCCTGTTCCACTCCAAGACGAGCCAGAATTAATTCGCTCCCTAAGCCGGGAGCGGGGTCTGCCCGAGCCGGGTCGGGGCGCGGGATCATCCCGGCGGGTGCCGCCGCCTCCCCGCGCTTCCCGCTGGATCCCGCCCGTGGCAGAGCCCGTGGAGCGGCGGTGCCGCCCCGGCCGGGCCATGTGTGCCGGCTTTGCACTCACATGAGCGCCCGCGGGTGCGGAGCCAGCGCCGCCCGCCCCGCGCCGCCGGGACCGGCCGTAAGTACCGGCCGTAAGTACCGGCCGCGCCGCCTCCCCCGCCGCATTCCCGCTGCCCGCTTTGCCCGCTGGATGCCCAGGCTTTGCACGGCAGGAACTGGCCCCCGGCTCCGTGTTGGGAGGCCGGGAATGTGTCCCGGCCCCGTGGAAAGGTGTGGGCAGGAGCTGGCGGGGCGCTGGGGCCGGAACGCGCCGAGCTTTCCCTGCCCTCCCGCGGCTCCAGCGGAATCCAGGGAAGTTTCGCTCGGCAGCGCTTTAGGAGCGGGATGGGGCGCTGGGACACGTCCGTCCCCAACCCCTCCTCCCCAGGAGGACGGGGGGAATTTTTGCCCTGGCAAAGTGCGGGAGCGTGCGAGGGCTTTGGAAAGGCTGGAGCGCGTGCGGGCTTTGGAAAGGCTGGAGCTGCGGCTCGTCCCGGCGGATCCCGGCGAAAACAACCTCCTACAAAGCCTCTGTTGTGCTGCTAGGAAAGGTCTTGGCATGTCCCGCGCTGCTGACGCCGGGGCCCAGAGCGCGGCCGGGCGGTTCCAGTTCAGCTCCTCTCGCCCTCCTTCGGGGCCGGCGGAAAGTGGGAGCTGCTAATTATTAACTGCTCAAATATTCCCTCCGTCCGCAGGCACCGGCCGGGGCCGGCGGGCAGGGGTGTGCCATGGGCAGGGGTGTTCCGTGGGCAGGGATGTGCCGTGAGGAGGGATTTGCCAGGAGAATTGTGCCGTCGGGGATGTGCCATGGGATGGGATGTGCCATGGGGAGAGCTGTGCCATAGGGAGGGATGTGCCATGGAAAGCTGTGCCATGGGAAGCAGAGCTGCCCCACCCACGCTCCAGGCTCTGGGCACCAGGCAAAGGGACGGTGACAGGGACACGGGGACGTGCCAGGGCTCCTCTCAGCGGAGAGGGTGGAAGCGGTGCCAGGTGGGAACATTCCCCAGGTGAACCTGGAACAACCAAAGGCTCCTGGGCTGGACCTGCAGCTGCAGCGCCGGGACATCCCCGCGGGGCTTCGTGTGGGGCTGTGGGGGAACAACAGGGAGGAGGAGGAAGAGAAGGAGAAGGAGGAAGAAGAGGTGTGTGGCACCAGCTGGGCGAGCCCGCAGCGTTTGTCCCCCGCCCTTGGCAAGGAGGTGACTCGCGGAGGGCCCGGCCCCGCCGTGTCCCCGTCCCTCATCCCAGTCCCGGCTCCCGGTGGGAACAGGGAGTCACAGGAGGAGGACGAAAAACGAGCCGAAGGAGGAGGGAAAGGCGGCCCTGCAGGGTGTGCCCGGTGCTGCTGCGCCCGCGGCTCCGGTGACTCATTTTGCTTTAAAAACACGAATTCTTCGGTAAGGCTGGGCCGGAGCCTCCCGCGGCTTCCCGGGGCTTCCCGGAGCAGCCGGAGCGGGATGGGCACGGGGCTGGATCCCTGCTGGGGAGGGGGTTTGGCTGGGGGGAAACCGGGGGTTCCCAGCTCAGGGCTCCCGTCCAAGGGCTGTTTGCAGACCGGGCTCCTGCACCCCGGGATGTGCCTCTGGGAGAACTCGTGCCTCTGGGAGAGCTCATGTTTCTGGGAGAGCTCGTGGCCCTGGGAAGGGCTCTGTGTGGCTTCCCCGAGATAAGGGGCATTATTGGCATTATTGTCGTTCCGTCCCATCATCGCCCTCAGTTGTGTTGGTGTCAGACCTGATGGGCACGGCCAGAGCCTGGGCTGGGCTGCCCTGGGGGGCTGGAGATGCAAATATCCAAAGTATCCAAGGGCAGCCCTCCCCCCTGGTTCCAGCTGGGTCACGGAGTCCCAGAATTCCAGAACAGTTTGGGTTGGAAGGGACCTTAAAACTCATCCCATTCCACCCCCTGCCATGGGCAGGGACACCTTCCACTAGCCCAGGTTGCTCCAACCTGGCCTTGGACACTTCCAGGGATCCAGGGGCAGCCACAGCTTCTCTGGACAACCTGTGCCCTCACCCTCCCAGTCAGGAATTCCTTCCCACTATCCCATCTGCCCTCTGGCAATGGGAAGCCATTCCCTGTGTCCTGTCCCTCCATCCCTTGTCCCCAGTCCCTCTCCAGCTCTCCTGGAGCCTCTTTAGGCCCTGGAAGGAGCTCCAAGGTCTCCCTTGGAGAGTCCCACCAGGGACTGAGCTCCCTCGGCCCGTGATGGGCTCTGGAGCCGCTGCAGGATGCAGGTCCTGTTCCCAGTGGGATCCCAGGGGGATTCAGATTCTGTGGAGCTTTGAGGCAGCACATTTGGAGTTCAACAACCCCGACAAAGCTCCTGATTTAAGTCTAATCTTTAACCAGAGGCATTGCCAGTTTTATTTTATGTCTGTTTATCGCTCTCTTGCCTCGTTAATTTTTTCCCTCCCTTCACCACCTCCTGCCCCCTCCCTCTCCCAGCCCTTCCTGGGGGCCCCCCGGCCTTTTCCTGGTGCTGGTTCTCACTGGAGCTGCTCAGCCCAGGGGAGAGGTAGAGTATGGGAGGGGAGGGAGGGCAGGGGGAGCAAAGGGAAGTACCAGGGGCTGGGAAAGGACAGCAAAGGGGGTTGTTTGGGGCTGGCTCTGCAGCACACACCATGTGCCAAAGGCTGGATCCCGGCGTGTCCCACTGTGGAGTTCTGGATGGCTGAGGTGGCTGGAATTCCAGCCCAGGAGCAGATTTTGGGAGATTCTTCCTTGTGGCTCTGTGGGCTGGAGGGCTCTGACACCTCTCAGAATCCTGGGGGAGCAGAGGGTTGGATTATCTGAGATCCCTGGAATCCCTGTGGGACCAACCTGACCCATGGGCTCCCTTCCCACCCCCTTCCCTCGCTCCAGGCACTCCCTGGCAGGAGGAACAAGGACAAATTTCTGAGTTTGACCTTTATTTCACAGACTGGAGGTGGAGGCAGAGGCAGGAGAGGTGGCACTGCCAAAGCCAGCAGCGGGTAAGAGCTGGAGCTGCTCCATGTGCCGGGATGTTCCCTGGGGAGTGGGAAAGGTGACCCCGCCCTGGAGCT